GGGGTATGCATGTGCACAAGGACGCACGTGCTAAGCCCCACCAAATCATATTTTCTTCCACCTATGTTTGTGGCCGTTCCTTCTCTCACCTCTTCTAGGAGCAGGTATCAGCAGCATTGAAAAACTTTACTAGCCATCTGCTGTGACCATGGCTAAGGCACAGAGACATCAGATACCATAGCCAGGTCTGTGGTTACCATGGTGACAATGAGTAGAGTTATGGCTCCAGGCATTCCATGAGAACTGCAGGCTGGGATTGAGGATTTGACCTGTTTATTTTAAACTGTTTGGTTAAAACACTGGTAGTACTTTACACTGAAAGAAGTTCTCTTGCTGAATCTACCAAAAAGTATCCACATTTTGATGGAAGGTGACAAACGTTTTTCCTCAGTTCTCCACAGGACTTATTCAGCATACCAGCTGGTTGGATGTAGGATGGTTGAGAGTTGCAGCAGCCTCAATCTTAAAAACGCTGCATTTATAATCCGTCCTCTTCTATTTATCTGTCTGATATCAACAAAGATGAGTATTGGAAATCATTGTGATCATTGTCCATAGCTCCTCTTCCAGTTCTTTTTTGTTTCCTATCCATGTCCTTTCCCTGTCCCTCTTTTGGGACCCTTCTCACAAGAACCTGTTATAAACCCAAGTGGCTTCTTTCCTTTATCAGGGAGCCACAAAAGAAATTCCTCATGAATTGTGGGGAAGAGTTCTCTATTCTTGGCATTCCCACAAGTGTCTGTAGAAGGTATGGTAGAACATCTGAGGAAACAGGTAGCCCACATTTACTCAAAACTAGGCAGTCCATAGGAATTTCTGATAGATTCCAATTGGCAAGAACTTACCTTCCAGAGAACACGTTCTCTTTTTCAGTCAGGGGTGCACAGAAGTGAGAGCTACCAGCGTAATAATTATAGCATGCCTATTCTGTAGAACAGAAGTGGCCAACCTGTGGTGTGTATACCACAAATGGCACAGGAAAGCTCTGTGTGTGGCACGTGACAAATCAGGGAAAGGACAGATAGAGCTAGGATCAGGTAGTAGAGCAGCAGTTCAGGTATAAGGACAGAGCAGGAGGTAGAAAGCAGAGCAGCAGATTAAGCGGGGGAAGGAGTATTGATGTGGCACTCAGGGAGGATGCAGGGTTAATTTGTGGCATACCTGCTGAAGAGGTTGGTCCCCACTGCCATAGAACACCATCCTCAAAGACAACATATTGGCAATGCACTGTATAAACAAGTAAGGAGATGTGATCTTCCCTTCTGCCTGGAAGCACAAGTGCTAGGAATAGTTTAATCCACTATGGCTGTCTCTACTAGCTTACACGTTTCAGGGACAGTGGTGACTTAACGATCTTTTTACTTAACTTTCATGGCTTCCATTAATACAGGGCTGTCCAACTTCTAAGTGGCTGAGGGCAGCACAAGCAGGGGCCACACTAGAGGGGGCCAAGGACCCAAAGTGCTGTGTTCCTTGCTGTGGCAGTGCACTCCTGCTGCTGTACCCTGCGCTCTGCCATTGCCCCATGCAGCCAGGAAATTCCCCCTGCTCCATTGCATGCCCCTCCCACTACGAGCCCCACTGCACCATTTTCTCCCTCTGCTTCACCCTGCTGATGCACCATGTGGCCAGGCACCGCCACTGCTGTACCACATGTAGGATATTTCCACACTGCACCGCATGCCCCAACACTGCACCACACACTCAGGTACCCCTCACTGCTGTTCCCTGTGCCCCAGATGCACTGTGTGCCCAGATGCCCCCCTGCTCCACCTGCTGCTGCCCTGAGTACCCACACTATACGTTCTCCCTGACTCACCCTTAGCTCTGCAGCTATGAGTTTTCCTGGTGCATTATACCACTTAGGCACCCCAGGCTGCAGATTCCTTTAGTACTGAAGGTAGTGCTGTGCCCTGCCCTTGAGCAGAGGCCTGGGAGAAAGGGCTTTTTCTGCAGCCAGAACAGTGTTTGGTGTGGCAGGTGGGTGGGAGCCTGGAAGATGCAATTTAACCCATGTAGTCTTTGGGCTCCCATTTGGACTGCCCTATGTTAAAGAACAAGCAGCCCAAACTGCTCGCTTTCCTTGCCTGTCAGAGCACTCAGCAATACAAAGCTTTAATTAAGAGGTGACTGATAAAGTGTTGCAATTGTTTTAGCCTTTTGTATCCTGGTGTAGAAGCACAAGGAGATAGGTGGTTCATGCATGGCCCCAATAGATGCTGCTAATGAGAAAAATCTGTTCTTGCTGTGTGTGCACATTTGCAGTGGATCATACAGTAACAGTGTTGTAAAGAAGCATTGTTTTGTTTTACAGTAAATAATAATCCCATCTGTTTTTCCTTTTTCTACTGCTGCCATTCTGGTCTCTCTCATTACTTCTGTCTTTACTCCAGCCAACACTCTACTCTTAATCATAGAAGCATCTCTTAAAGGCGATAGGAAGATTAGTGTGTGAAGTGAAGTAGCTGTCAACTGGTTTGCCACTATCTGAAAGTAACATGGTTTTTGGAACTAAGTGCACAGTGTGAAAAAGTTAGGGCTATGTTTACATTGAAAGCACTAATACATCTTCCTACCTGTGGCTGAAATGATTATAATGCAGGAAGTCTGCAGTGTAAACCTGGACAAAGTGCTAAAGTAGTACTTGCCAATCTCGCTACTCCCAGGAACATTTGTCACTTCTATCATGCCAAGCACAGCATATTCTACTCGGAGATCTCCCTCAGTTTGTACTCATTACACCTCACCTAAAACTAGCCAGTTTTTTTCTTTACTAACATTCACAAGCTCTATTGACTACAATAACATTGTAGCAGAAGCAGACTGTGAGAAAGATAATGATGTGTGAAGAACATTTCGAAGGCTTCATCTAAAACATTGGCTTTCAAACTTTTTTGGCTGCTTACCCCTTTATCTACAAAATATTTCTGCTTGTACTCCCCACACCATAGGAAGAGTGTTGACATTGATATCAAGATGTGGAAATACCATTGGTTAATGATCAGCCAGAAGCTCCACTGCCATTATTAAAATTTCAGCACAAATCCCCTAACAAAATGCCAGATACCCCAGGAGGTACATGTACCTTAGTTTGAAAAACACTTTTCTAAAGGATGCTAATATTTTGGAGTACTTGGAGTACCTTGGAGAAAAAAATGAGAGGAAGAGTGCTGTTGACTCTTTATGCAGTGTTGTCTTCATATAGTCCTTCTCTGTATCATTTCTCACTAGAATTGCACGTAAAAGAAACACTAGTGTCTGGAAAATCTTATTAAAAACTGTTAAATGATTTGTAGTATGAGCAGCACTAGCAAAATGTACAATCAATAATCCAAAAAAGGTAATTTATAAATGTAAGAGATCTTCAGAAATTATGTGCATTATGTATTTATAATTATGTTCTGGGATTATAATTTTTTGCAAAAAATTAAAGAAAATGTACTAAGATTAGTGGTTTCTGTTATCCTACCCACACAAGATATGGTCCAAACATGGCAAAATTGCTTTCAATCCAATGTTTTTATTACAAGAATACATTTCAGAGTATTCTTTAAGTTTACTTAATTTATGTTGAATGCCAGTGACAAATATACACTAAATAGATGTATAAAATATCCATTTTACAGTACTCTCAGTATGAATATTTTACATATTTGCCTACATATGCAGTCAGAACCATTAGCTTCCCACTACATGTTGCTCAGGTTCCACAACTTTAGGATAGTTATTAATTTTGTGGTCTGTCTAATCTATGTACAATTAAAATGGTAAATGGTATGTAAAATAAAGAACATGATTGCAGTTTATATAGATACACGTTACTATGTTTGTGGTAGCTTACAGACAGTTTAGTAAGTTCCTATTAATTATTAAGCTAATGTTAAAAATTTAATGTTACCTTTATAGTTCAGAGTGCATCAAATTATGTTGGTAATGAGACTTTGAGCATTTTCCAGTAAAAAGTTGCAAGGATAAATACAAAAGCCTTAAGAGGTTTTAAGGTCTTAATATCAGTTCTGCCTGTTTTAACGGCAGAGGAACTCAAAATAGAATACCTTTTAATTCCATCTTAGCCTTATTTATTTTAACAGTGACCAGAATTGGCACATGACTTGGCCTTGAAATCTCATATTTTGTTTGCTATATTTTCATACATGCCATATACACATATTTAAATAATACATTCTCAGTACAGAAACATATCCTTAATAATTAAATTATTTTTACTTAATTTTCATTGTTTTTGTTAAGAAAGGAAATAATCTAATAGGAAACATCAACATGCAGTTTCCTGTACAGTTTTTATAAATTCTTCCTTGAAAATATCAAGTTTTTTTATATAATTTACTCAAATTGTCAACTAAACAAAGATTGTTAAGTAAGAACATTGTCAAATAAAACAAAGGATTGGTATTTGAAAAAGGGGAGAAATGGAAGTATTTTATATACATGTCTGTCCACACCCTTAATACCAATACCAATACCAAGGGCTTTTAGTTTGTACTTTTTCAGTAGCAGAGACATGCTACTGTCTCCTGGTGAAAGTATCACTGCTAATCGCTTTAGTGTTATTCCTGTTATATCATTTTTATGCAGTTCTGGCCAACTGATATTGCCATAGCACTGTTTGCTATTCATCGACTTGATTTTTAATAGGGTTTTAAGACTGTGTAAAGCACTATTTGTTACATCTGTCTGTGTCCCTTTATAGAAATCCTACCTTACAGCCTCTAAGTTAGTATATATATTTGTTAACTGGTTAAGTTATGGTAAACTGCCATTTTTAAATAGATTTCAAGTATTATAAAACCAGAAACATAGGCTATTCCTATATTAAGATTGTTTGTGAATATGCTATTTTTTTGTGTTACTTTCGTAAATTTCCAAGTTGCACGCTATTTCTGCTTAAAATGCAACGGAATGTTGAAGGCTGAACTTCCCAGTATTTCATAGGGTTGTTGAATAAGCTGATTCCACTGTATAATGCCTTTTTCATGCTTCTTTCTGTTGGACAGAAGTCATTTGCTCCCACTTTTGGAATATTGTTATTGTGAAGGAAGACTACCTGTAAGAATAAGAAATAGAAAAATGTCTGAAAAGAGTGGTGGAGAAATTGTTAAAATGTATAATTGAGACTGTGTAAGCGATCTGATGTAAACTCCTACGGTAGGGGTGCTGAAGATAAAGCATTGAATCTCTGAAGGAATTTTTTTCCCCACACTTAGGCAGTACTGTATCAGTCTCCATTTTTCAGCCTGCTATCACAATGATTTGACTATTCTAAATTTTTTTCCTTTTAATGAGTGATATGTGTAATGTTTAATAGTGGGTAATATAAAGACTTAAGTGAGGTATACTCTAAAAAAGGTTTGTCAATACAACTGTTTGAGTCTACCAATCTCAAAAAGCAAAATTTCATAGATTTCATAGACATTAGGGCTGGACGAAACCTCAGAAGATCATCGAGTCCAGCCCCCTGCCTGAGGGGTAGGAAGTCAGCTGCTTTCATAGGATCCCAGCAAAATAAGCATCCAAATTTCTCTTGAAGGTGTTCAGTGCAGGTGATTGAACCACCTGCGATGGCAGGCTATTTCAGACCTTGGGGGCTCGGACAGTAAAGAAATTCTTCCTTATGTCCAGCCTGAAATGGTCTTGCAGTAGTTTATGACCGTTTGACCTCGTCATCCCTTGGGGTGCTCTGGTGAACAAACGTTCCCCCGGATACTGGTGGTCACCTCTGATAAACTTGTAGGTGGCCGTCAAATCACCCCTGAGCCTGCGCTTTTCCAAGCTAAAGAGCACCATAGCTCTTAGCCTCTCATCGTAAGGTCTGTTTTCCTGACCTCTCATTATGCACGTGGCTCTTCTGTGGACTCTCTCAAGCTTCTCCACATCCTTTCTGAATTGTGGGGCGCAGAACTGGATGCAGCTACTCCAGCTGCGGCCTCACCAAGGCTGAGTACAAGGGGAGAATGACATCCCATGATTTGCTTGAGAAGCATCTATGGATGCAAGCCAGCGTTTTGGTCACTTTAGTAGCTGCAGCATTGCATTGCAGGCTCATGTTCATCTTGTGGTCAATGATGACCCCCAAGTCTCTTTCTTCCGTAGTGCTAGCCAGTGTAGCATTGCTAAGCCTATAAGGATGCTGCAGGTTTTTCCTTCCAATGTGGAGAAGCTTGCATTTTTCAGTGTTAAACACCATCAGGTTCTCATCCGCCCATTTGCTGAGTCTGTCCAGGTCAGCCTGGATCACCTGCCTGTCTTCAGGTGCGGATGCTTTGCCCCAGAGTTTGGTGTTATTGGCGAACTTGGCCAGTCTGCTT